TTCACCTGAGTATTTTAATTAGTTGTCTGCCCACCCCAATATAAATTCATCTGTGGACTCTAGTTAAAATATCGACGTGTTAACACTTCCACGTTCCTGCAATCTGTGCCAATCTGACCTGGGGGAAAATTCCTTCCTATTCCCAAATCTGATGATTGGTCTCATCCTGAGCAGAAGAGCAGGACCCTTCAGGCAGAAACCTCTCAGGAACCTATCTATGTACCAGCAAAAGCAACAATGCACCCCAATCAAAACTGCCAATTCTAGCTGCAACTCAACTCTACCCTGTCTTCAAAGTAGGGAACAAAACAAAAGAAAAAACCTGGAACTAAAAAACCATTTATGAGGGGAAAATTGATCCTTTCCTGGCCCCTACAAATGGAGCTATCTTCCCCTCACTCCTCCATACAGTCTCCAAGGAGTTTCATTAGGCAGTGTCCACATGCTCCACAGATATGTTTAAGGGGCAGTAGGAGCTAGCGGGTGTTCTCTGCGTGGCATCACCCCTTGAAACCTTTGCTATTAACTTCGGACCTGCACTCCCTTTCCTATGTTTCCATCTGTTGTCCCAAGCATTAGTTACTGTGTACTCAGCAGCCTCTCTCTAACTGAGGGAGACTTAGGTTAGGGGTAGGCAATTATTTCAGTTGGAGGGCCACTTAATGAGTTTTGGAGAGCTGTCAAGGGCCACACACATAAAATATCTCAGAAGATATCATTTTAACAAACTAGAGATTAAAAAAAAATCATAAACTAAAAATCAAACATCTACTATCAAATATTTTAATTTTATTTCAAAAAATCTTTTTGTCTTATTTTTTTTGAATAGTGTATATAGAGGTGATTGTATAACAGCTCAAAATAAAGTCTCTCTCTGGTATATTGTGTGTGAGCGGGGGCTGTGTGTGTAGGGGGCTTGGGGTGGTGTTTGTGTGGGGTGGGGGGTGTGTGCGTATGTGTGGGGGGGGACTGTCCACACACTAGGTCCTAGGAGCCAGCTGGGGATGGGAGAAGGGAAGGAGGTTGTGGGAAGGGCAGGGGGAGCATGCAGCAGAGCTCACTTGGGCAGGGCAGTGCTGGTGCGTTCTGCACCCGCCCGCCCCAGTCGGGTCTGAGGCTGCCCCCGTGGCGCTCCACACGGGGCCGAGCCCTGCCCACTCCCACCTGGAAAAGCCTGTGCCATGCTCCTGTCCTGTACCCACTAACGACACCACTCTGGCCATGGCACCAGCCCCAGTGCTGGCCTCAGCCAGCATGCACAGCTTCCCAACAGAGCTGCTCCTGCTGCTACTGCTGCTCAGGTACTACTTGGCTCCTCCTGCCTCCAGTGGATCCACTTCCTCCTTCTGCCCCTGCTGCACCACTCCAGGGGGAGCTGCAGATGGGTGGCTTCTGCCCCAGCACATGAGGCTCCAGCTGCCTTCCACCTACTTGGCTGCCTGTAGGTGGCTGCACATCACACTGGGTGGGCAGAGGGGATGGAAGGAGGCTTGGAGCTGGAGCCCCACGCACTGGGGCGGGAGCTGCCCCCACCTGAAGTGGCACAGCTTTCTCCAGCCTAGAGCAGTGCAGCAGGGGCAGGAAGAGAAGGAACTGCTGGAGGCAGCGGGAGCCAAGCAGTAACAGAGGGACTGGGGGCC